AAAAGAGCTTCGGCTAGCTCCCCCGAAAGCAGCGACAGCAGCTCTGAATCGTCCGACTCATCCGAAGTTTCAGCTGCTTCGAGTGAACACAGGAGGAAGAAACACCATAAGGACAAGAAACGATCAAAGAAAGGGAAGGATTACAGCAGGAAAAGAGGTAACATTTAACCATGTAAAGCAGCCATACTGTACATGGAGGAAGAACGTCCAGAGCTGAGTGGAAAACTGCACTAAAACTTATATTTCAGATCACACTGGGAAATATGTTTTACATTTTGAATGTTTATGAACATTTTTTCATTGGCACATACTTGTCAAAAGCCCACCTCTCTATTTATTGCCACGTCTCTAACAAGCACAGTTCACACATTGTTTATTGCTTTTTCTGTCCACCAGCCACAGGTGTCCAGTATGTCATCCACCGCTACAAACAAGTCCTGTCTGCTTTCATCAAGAAGAAGAGCATGAGCGAAGCCTTTCGCCATCTCGGAATCGACAGGAACACCATCGCCAACACAGCTTCGATTGCTGAGCTTCACCTGGCTGGCAAAGACATGGTCCCTTTGGTGGGCATGTTTCGACAAGGAGAAGAGACTCTGGTCAGCTATGCTCAAAGGTGCACTTTGGTCATTGACAGTGACGCTGAGCTGTCCAGGAAAATAGATCAGATGAAAGCTAACGGCGAGCTTCTACCCATCTCAGGGAAAAGGCCGAGGGTATTACATTCTCACTTGCAGCAGCTAGGTGGTGCTGGAGAAAGCATTTTAATAGGTTGATGATTATTTCATTGCATGGAATAGGTGAAACCTCAAAATACTCTTTTGCTTGTTTTTCCCTCAGTCTGAACGGCTGGATTTAAATGTTTTATGTAGCATTTTGCATTTCTTTAATTATAAGGGGACCAGAAATGTTAATTATGTTCAATATGCATTTATGATCTATATTTTTTACTTGATAACCATAAAACCATATTTACAGCAACTTTTGTTATTGGAAGTAATGGCTTTTTTAATTAAAGAGCAGATGTGTAGATAGCGTTAGAAACAGCCACAAGATGGCAGTGCTCATATATAAGATGATGTTGACAAATAACTCCTCCTTTATCCAAAATGGTGGATAGTCAATTTAAATTATCCAGCATCTTGGTGTCACTTTATGTTCATAGACACTGTCACAATCTATTTGTTGACATTGTTCTGTGATTTATGTGCTTTAAGTAAACAGAGTGATTTAACAACAGCATTGTTTGAAAGGGTGTTCGTTTTTGAATTCTAAACAAATGAAAAAATGAAAACAGATATATCTGTGAGTTTTGTGTCCTTTATTTTGTTAGTGATACAGTGATGTTCCCAGAAATGATGGTAGGATACTACTGCACATGGTTTTTAAATAATAGACCTTTGAAATCCAGAAACTTTTACAGGAGTCATGATTACTTTATTCCAGGTTATTAGTATCATATCAACACCCAAATCTGTCACCATCACCCAGCTTCTGCCACTCTATAAGAGGAAATGTGATGCAGCTGAAATGTGTACTATTGGTATTAATTCAGCCCTGTTGTCAAATGCATAGGAGTGTACAACATCCTTGGGCTGTGATAAGTCTCTGGGCAAAGTATGGCCATCGCCTCCCTTGTTTGCTTTTCACATGGAGTGACAGATTACTCGTGCAAAACCATTGCTGGAGCTGCACCCGCGTTGTTTATCCTTGCATGGGAGTCTGTCACTGTCACTCCCATTCACACACTGACTATCTGCATGTCTTTCACTCTCACATCCCAGTCTGTCTGTCCCGTCCTCTTTCAGCTCCCCTGCCCCCACCCTCTTTTGTTATGAACTCATTCAGTCATTTCTCATTACCTATCACTTCCCCGTCTCTTCTTCATTCTTTTTTGTTTTATCCTTTAACCCAAAACAAACTACATTTTGGATAGTATAGAACCATTACATGCCACCAGAGGTAACCGCCAGCAACCTAATGTTTCTCTCAGCCTGTTTACAACCAGAGGGGACATATGCATGCTGGTCTGCACAGTAGAAGGAGGTGGGTGTATTTCTCTGCCAGCTCTCATCTCATCCCACCTTTTGAGGCATGCAAATCTCAGTTCTGCTCCCCTTGTCACCAGCACAAGATGAGAAGATGGGTTTTCTGCAAATGTTCAAATGAGAAAGGACGAGGATATAACGTGCAGGATTTCTGTAAACCACATATCCTCAAAAAATGTAGAAAAAAACGATATCTCCATTTACCTTTACTCTAGCGTGCAGCTGTGAATGTGGTGCTAATGACTCCGGGTGCTGAAGCTCCTAGCTGAAGACAGAGACAGGATGTGGGCCTAATCAGGCCTGAAGCATTGTCTGCTCCTCCCCGGCCTTTTGACTCACACTGATGTAGGGCCAGCTGGGACTCAATTTTGTCTTTACTGGTTGCAGGTGCCAAGTCACTGCGGAGGCTCCAAGTGCCTGATGGGTACAAAAATGAACCCCCCCCCTCCTCCTGGTCTGGCTTTGATTCTGACCTTGACAAAAAGAGCATCTGGGTGTTCTCAGAGAAAGCAGCTTGTAATAACCACCAATCACCCTTTTAATGGTGTATGTAAAATGTGTTTGAACTGGGCTGGGGTTATGTTTGATTGCGATACTGGAGGTGGGTGCCAGATAAATGCCTCGGACATATAAAGGATTATAAGGCTTGCAATGGAACGAAAAAGCTGAGACTTGCGGAGTTGATTTTTATGCTCTCTGAGGAACTTAGTTCTTGGCTTGAAGAACACTGATTGTAATGACACTTCATTATTGCTGAGATTAGCGCAAGATATCCAGTAAAAGTGGTCTGCTTTTATTCACGTTTCCTTTGGCCTATTATCACTTGTTGTTTGAAGGACAAAGGAACTACAGTCTTGTTTTGAAGAAATGACAGTTTAGAAAATACACTTGCCTGATTTCTTGTAAAGTTAGAGGAGAGACGACTGATTTTACTCTCATATCTGTGCCATAAATATGAAGCTACAGACAGGACACAATTAGCAGAAACAACACCGGTGCGCTCAAACAGATAATCCCCAAAATGAATGGACAGTTTGTGTATGTGCGAGACTCTTGGTCTTCCTGCTAATGAAAGCTCAAAATAACCTGGTTACTACTGAAAAAGTGGGTCAGCAGCACATCAACTGATTGCTGGTGCAGTCAACAACATGCGATCATCTTCAGCCTTTTTCTGGGAGAGAAAACATCCACGGACAGTAAGAGCACTTCAGTGTGGATGAGAAGCATTAGAGGACAGTGTTGTATCCAGCACACCCTTGTCATTTTCTATTGTTTCTGACCAGACACATCAGGCAGACACCCCTCAGTGCACAATTTGACCTACTATTCATTAGATTCAGTCTAATAGGTTAACAGTAATAAGCTTCAGCTACAGTGTAGGGTAATTTTATCACCTTTAAATATGTTTATTAAACCAAAGACATGCACAGCTTAATACAGACACATGTTTTAACAAACCTTTCAGAGAAAATACAATTTGTGCTTTGTCAGTTGCTTTTCCCTGCAGTTTTTTTTACCCTTTAAGTTGTTTGATCTGACAAATCCAGCCAGTGAAATCAAAGTCATTAATTATGCTTCTCTTGGCAATTATAAGACAGAGAAAAAAAAACTGAGATGCTAATCTGAAACCACAGAACCTCTCCACAATGACAGGCTTTCTCCCGGTGCTGCTCAATCAACAAGTCTCAAGGTATTGCTGGTGTGCTCTCCATCTGGCTGTCACTGATAAGAACTTACTGGGGGTGGCTGGATAATAGTCTTGCAAGCTTAAAAATGCAGAGGGGGGTAAAGTGTGTTCTGGGGGAATCCAGCAAACAGGCCCCAAACAAAAGCATTATCTCCCCCCTCATACTAAGAACGTTTGGGCAAAGGCACCCCCTTTAATATAACCACTGGGGGTGGGGATGTCATGCTGACATAGTCATGATTTGCTTGAGGAAAATGGAGAAGCAAAATGGCTGCACTCATCTGCAGCTTATGAGCTGCATCACTGAGCAAATGCTCACATGTTTACAGTATAGTAATCAAGTCCTTTCACTCTGATCAAGCTAACTGGGTGAACTGCCACACTAAAACTGATCTTTTTCTCTGTACAGTATCTCCATGGCTTTGTGAAAAATATGTAAAGTTGGTACAACCTCTATTTTCAGGGTTAGAGATGATGATTGTTTTTGGTTTGTCTACCCCAGGTGTCCTCAGATTGACAGGGCTGCCTCACTGGCAATGAAAGAGCAAGCAATAATAGATATACTGTATGATGTTGGCTCGAAAAGGTAGTTTATTATATCTGACCAACTGTAATTACTGGCAGAAACTAACAAAACAAAGGTAAAGGTTATTGTTTGTTTTATGCTTGGTTGTTGTTGTTTTGAACATGCCTTTGCTTATATGTTGTCTGATTATGAGGTGGAAAATAGCATGATTAGAGGGGTGGCTATATTAATAACCTCTGGCTTCAACCTATTTCTTTTCAGTCTTAATTAGGGGCACTGATTATATGCTGTTTAAATAGCAATGAATGAATATAACGTGAATGATTGATTTAATGTCTGGATCAAAATAAACAGATAAAAGAAAAAAGAACTAGTAAAAAAGGAAACAAAAACTTTTTAAAAATCTGATACAAAATGGAAAAAACATCCATCTTTTGATATAACTAAAATGATGAGGTAATAGTATAGTTTTTTTCTCCTCCCCAAAAACAGCTGCAAACTGGGGGACTTGTGACGGCTACACCCACAACTGCATCATTTGGACACAGAAGAGATGACGACGGTATGTGACGCAGAAACAAATACAAGACGACAGCATGAAGGAACACCCACCCCACCCTCAAATCTTGTTGGTTTTTTCCTCCAGTGATGCAGGAATAACAGACGTTTGGCACAAAAAAAGAAAAAAATTTATTCTGAGAAGAGTGGATGTGTCCGTAGGTCCTCTCTAACAGGGTTAATGGGAAAATGTGAAAGAAAAAAGGAAAAAGAGGAGGAAGCATAGACATTTGCTGTCATATCTGAGAAGGGAAAGTTGTGAGGTTTGGCTGTAAGGGAAATGCTTTGACTGCCTGACATGATAATAACAGCATTGCCCACTTGAGGTTAGAGCTTGGACATAGTGAATGATCTGATAGCTTTGGTCATTTTTGCATTGGGAAGAAGGGATACTGGGATTTTCCTCTCTACCTGACCTCTGTTGTGAAAACAGGTGTTAATTCCACAGTGCTACCTTTCTTAAAGCATCCTCACACATTGCAGGAGGCCCCCCTCTGTTGTTATATTTACTGTATGTGTACTCTGTGTTACTATGGCAGATTTTTCTGTGGTGTGAAGACAAGTGAGCTGACTGCCTGAGAGGTGGGTGTATTTGTTTGTGGCTGGCAGCTCTGCTGGACTTAATAAAACATGTCTGTGGACATATGGAGCAAAAGCAGATTCAGCCCGATCCTAAATTCATGAAGAGAAACAGAAGAGCAACGAGGGCGTTTGCACCAGTTATACAACTTGCTGGGTGAGAGGACAAAGTCTGTTTTGATGATGAGTCATTGTTGGGACTATTCAGCATCATGTCATGAACATCACTGTTTGCAGCCTACTGGGATGGCAGAGGAGTGGGTAGGAATGTTTAAAGCTGCTTGTTGCTCACTCTGTGCTCTGAGCATTTAACATAGTTACATGAGTCCTTGATGAATTTTACTGATGCTACATGGATGGCAATGTTGGTCTGTCAGTTGCTCCAGAAAGATTTCAACAACTATTGAATGGTTTAAGATGAAATTATGACTGGCTCTTAATTTCTCATTTAGCACCATCATCAAATAAAAATCTTACTGTAAGTAGACAATTGATTTGTTTTCTGACATACTGCTGCTAAATTTACTATTTTTACCCTCTGCTGGATTTTATGTTGTGCAATTATTTGCAAATGTTAGCATGCTAACACACTAAGCAGAGATGGTGAACAAAATAAACATTTTTCTGCTAAACAGCAGCATATTACAATTTTTGCTGCGATTAAATGTTTAGAAAAACCACTTCAATCTCTCCAATATATATTGTGCTTTATACGTATATTGTGCTTTATACATTTATAGAGCATAAACAGTTAACCAAACAGTTGAACCAAATTGAATGTCACCCCCCCTTGAGCGGATTAAATTAAAATTTGCAGAGCTTCAGAGGGTGCTGTAAACAAATGTCTCAAAGAAGCCCTGTGCTGAGATCCAAATATGAAATCATTTCTGTGTATAAAAGGCTACAATAAACACAATCATTCACCAGACTCACAACACAGAACCCACAGCAAATTCATTAACTTGATGTGCAAAGCAAAGCTCATAAGATATTCCTACACTACGCTTCCACGGTCAGATTAGCTGTGTGTTAGCTTGTGTTCCTCACTGTTACATTAAACTGAATAAATGTGTGCAATCACCCCCCTCCCCTCAATTTTACTTCAAGGCATTTTTGCCATTCCATAGTTAAAATAATCAACACACCGCTACCTTCCCACTGCATTGTTCTTTGCAGAGAACATGAAAATATGTTAGAATACAAATGATGTTTTTTCATTTTACTTTTGTATTCAGCAGTTCAGTGTCATGAAATACACATAATTGTTATAATAAAGCAAGGTCATTGGGTCATCTGAAAAAAAAGGTTGGTCAAATGGAGCTTCATGCATGGTTGTGCCAATGATATCCTAATGATCTTTCTATCAACTGCACAATCCCAATACTCATTTAAGTGGCTTTGGATATGTTATGTACCACAGCTGGGGAAGTCACGGCCCAGTGGTTTGCCACAATGGCAACCAGTCATTGATGGCAGCCTCAGGCCTGTCAGGCATTCACACCACGTAGCTATAGCCACAATAACCTCATCAGTAGCCTTATTCAGTCCTCACAGATGGAGTTGACTCTGGTGCTGCAGACCCAGCCTGCCATCCACTGATCTGCATCACAGAGGCCTCAGTAGTCAGAGTGCCCCCTCCTTAAATCTCCCTGAAGTGATCTCTAATTTTCACCTGATTGTGTCCAACACTGTGGTATTATTCGACTCTCATGTATGATTGTGTGAGATTGAATGGACAAAGGTATTCTGTTATGTTGTTTGTATGAAATGTTTCAGCAGCAATGTACACAACAGATTTTAAAAAATCTGTCAGCAACATTCAGCCCATATAGGTTGGTCTAAATACACAAAAAATCTGGGATATTTATGTGCATGGTTGCCTTTCTCTGAGATCAAAATTGCAGGTTTCACATTATGACTAGAAACATAAAATACAAATTCAACTTTCTAACCAGTATCAACCTTGTAATGGCAATGTAGGGCACAGCAGGGCCCACATAGTGTAGCGTTGATGGTGTCAGCGGTGATAGGAGGCTGATACCAATTCCCATGTGTGACCAAACACAAAGAGTGATCAATATGCTTATCAATCAATCAGTCAATCAACCTTTGTGGAATGCTGCCTGTCCTTCGAACCCATGGATCACCACTGTAACAAAAATACTGCACCACTTTCTGCATTTGTCCTTCTTATGCTGTGTAGTGTGAAAGTGAAGTAAAAGTCAGTTTCATTATAAAAAATATTCTTGAATTGATCTTTTTGTACAGCTAATTAGCTTTAATGGCTGTGATTTGTATAACAAGTCTCTATAAGCCAAGTGTTCATGTGTTTTCATATAAAATGTTGATTATTTCTGTCTGAAGCCAAGAAAATTCATTTAGTTTGACACAATTCAGAGAAATTCATAATAACCTTATTTTACTGAAGCATAGGTCTGAAAACACTGTCGGGTAGTTTCAGATGGGCATTTAAATAGTTAACTGGATTCTCACATCATTCGCTAATGCATAAAAAATACAAAGTATAGGCAGTGCTTCACTGACAAAAGGATTTTTATTTGCTTGTTTCAGAGTTAATATGGTAAATTTTGCAGCCACAAAGTCATTGGATATTCTTCATTTATTAAAGTTCAGTTCATTTTTCTGCTTTTTTTTTCAGACACTGTCAAAACATGTATAAACTCAGAAGGCTGAAATAAAGATGCCCAACTGCACAGGGTAAGTGAGAAGGCTTATTAGATCATGCAGCCATTTTCACAAGATGAGTTATCATTAGTACAGTGTCAGTCAGCAGCTGAGCAGTGGGCAAGCAGCTCAGCAGAGCCATATGTAGATTACCTGTCAGAAAATTAAGCCTGTTATCTGCTTATGTCACACATTTGGTTGTCACACATGGTTCTCATCCAGTGTTTTATAAGTAGCATATGAAGTTCACAATCACAAGTTCACAACCCTGTTATGTGTATCAAAGTTGTGTGTTTGTCCTCTGGTTAAAAAAAATACAATAAAAAATATAGTAGCCATAGCAATTGTGACGGAGGACACCATGTGTATTGTTGTTACCATGATGATGAAGGTCTGGTGCTGGTGCTGCTCTTATGGTTTGTATCCAAGGTTATAGTTGTTTAGATTGGAGAACATGTTGATAAGCTTGGCTAGAATCGTACTGTTTCCATGCTGGTAAGAATAAATTTAGTAAAGTACACATCCATGACATTTTCATTAGCCTACCATAAATATAAATGTTTGCAATTTGATACAATCTGGTGATAATTAAGGCTGTGTTTGCATGAATGTTTTATTTTTGCTTCATCTTTTTTTTGTTTGTTTTTTTACACCAGCTCATTCTGAGGGGGACACAAATTGTTTAACTAAATTTAGCTTTGGGCTGTTCGTACATTTCACTCACAATCAAAGATATCAACTTTATGGTGGCGCTAGTGGAAAAGTCAGGGAATCCTCGGTCATTAGGATACATTGTCTAGGAACCATGGATATTTGTGCTACATTTGGTGCCAATTCCTCTTGTAAATGTAGTGATAATTGACTAGATTAGGCATGTTTTTTTCTGCTGGTGGTGCTTGATGAAAAGCCAGGCTTTAAATTTCATTCTCTGGGAAATATAAATATCTGTACAAACGTTCATACCAATTGATCCTTTAGCTATTTAGATATTTCAGTCATTAGCCATGCTAATAGCTTAGCTAACAACAGAAGAACAGTTCATTTAACATAAAAAGCAGAAAAAGTGCCACCTGGAAATATTCAAATGTGACCAAAAAAGTAAAAAAATGTGAAATCATATCATTTATTGACAGATACATTTAGAAGGTGGAGAAACACCACACTAATGACTGCTTAATAACACAGAGGGCATCATAAAAAGGACTAAAAATCAGCCTAAAAAGGATTTCTAGTTTTTGTTTCAGGCAGGTCTAGCAATCAGGCTCAGTGGTGTGTCCAGTCTACACACTGGGCTGGACCTTTGCCCACTCTAATCATACATATTAAGGCCACCAGTGCATCTCCATCCTTGGTCCTGGTTCAGCTTCCAGGAGACATTTGGAAAGCAGTGGAGCAAGAAATGAGGTTGGCTTGCTGCTGTCATCAAAGCCTGCAGGATGTGCTTGAGGGAGTCGCACGTAAGTCGTTGATCACGCAGGGTCCCATGCAGACAGAGAGCGTGGAGGTCATCAGTGGGAGGATGTGATGTGATGGCAGAGCTGGGATTCAGCTGTGTAATGGACAGAGACATCTCTGCCCCGCTGATGTATTACTGGCAAAAAAAAAAAAAAACAACCCAGGGGCCACGAAAGCAAATGATTGATGAGGCTTTATGGTTGAGGCAATGGACTTATTGTAGTTCCTCTTTTTAAAACTTAGACCTTCCTCTCAGCCATCTCATACAGATTTTTTTGTAGGTAGCCTTTTGAAATCTTCTCTTTCTGCTCTTCCTTTTCCTCCTCAAAACATTATTTTTAATGCAAATTAAATGCAGAAGTAGAAATTATGATACATAGCTTTTCGGACAATCAAGACAATTATTTATTTTAAGATGTTGAAAGCATTTTCAGATAACGTTTGTGTTCAAAATAAATTCTGTTGGATATACACAACAATCTTTAGATGGTGTTCAGTGAGTTTGTCTGATGGATACATGCATCTGAGTGTTCAAGGGAAAACAATCACAGCGCCATCTGTTAGTCTGTATGATAAATTAATAGCTTCACCATTGAAGCAATTAGCTTCTGGCAGTTTGAGCGGAATCAATAGTCTGCAGAATCGTAGCAGCATGAAATTTCACTTTTCTGCTACATGAAGAGATTGTTAAAGGATGTAACTGGGCCTTGTTTTACTGCGATGTGTGCATTGTCTAATCAAAGGTAGGCTAGGCTTTTATTAATGTAAATCAAGCAATTGTAACACAAATAATAACCTACTTCGAACATCATTAGCATTAAAAGTGGCAGACTTTCTCAACGTCAAGATTACATTTCCTGTAAATTATCTCATGAGCCCCGTGACCCCGTTTGGGACTAAGCGGTATAGAAAATGGATGGATACGCTCAAGAAATCGCTTCTTCTTATGATGTTTATTGGCGGTTTGCAAGCCAACTTATAGTGTATTACCGCCACCTGCTGGGCTGGAGCGTACAAAAAAAAAATCGCTTTTTCAGAAAAGCGTACCTAACTGTTAGCACGGCCTTTCTCGGCTTCCGTAAGTGAGCGCACCTTCTCAAATGAATCTACAGGAATTTGAAGTAGGTAATGCCACCAGTCTCTCAGCTGAGATGAACAGAAGTGAACTCTCAGTCTAGGTGTGGCTTGGCCCTACATTGGCCCATTCCCCAGCAGTGACCGTGTAATGTGACACTGCTAAACAATGGTGAGAGCAGGGCGGTGCAGTCACGACCTGCTGCACCTGACTCGCTCCTCACTGTCGACCACGCACTCGCCTGCTGTTAGCTCGTCTTCTCCAGGCGAATTTATGACCCTATCAGCCTCATCGGCTCCTGGCTAGTGTCATGCTGAAACTAATATTTTGAGTTCTGAAATTTTGCGTTCCTAATTCCTGATGCATAACACAGCAGAGGAGTTTGGGTCACACAGGAACAACATTATGCTCTTGCTTGCTGTTGCTGTCACACACAACTGATACCCTGGTACATAAATGTACTTATGAAGGTAAGTATGATGATGAGTTTTGGCATTGTATGTCACTGAGAAGCTACTAAAGCTGTTGGCCTCAAACAGTGTGCATCTTTTATTTCCTTGTCTGACAAAATGAAAACGTGACTACTTCATTTGGGTTTCTCATTTGCATACTTCAGGGGAGGCTCAGCATAGTGTGCCTCTGCGCATTTACCTATGCATACATTGCGCATATATGTGTGTGTAAATGTTTAACCTTACCAAGCATGTGTCTCTGTTTGCTTTGCTTCCTCTCACCATCAGCCGTCAAAGATAAGTAAATCTAAGCATTTACCTAGTTCTGGATGATGATGATGATGATGATGATGATGATGATGATGATTATTATTACTTGCTAAAATGTTGTTTAATTGTGTAAAAAGTTTATTAGCTGCTGAGCAATAATACTGTAGCCTCTGTATTGTTTTTGCTTTTTCTGCAATAGTTTCCTCTAAAGAGTATTATCTAGACAGCATAGCCCATCATGTTTATGTCAAATTGCTGCCAGTTTTTCTTGACTTAAATCTTGAAAAAATTCTCTTATTTTAGAAATAAATTTTTATTAGTGTTTGCTTGTTGCCGAAACAGGATGGTACAGACCAATCAACACAGGATTTTTCTGGTTTTATGTAACATGAGAATCTTTATTTGTACTTTCCCATCCACGCCCATTTACATCTGAGTATTCTTTTACAAAATTCATGCATGTTAAGTAAAAGTATTTCTGACTTTGATGTGGTCAGTCAGTCAGTGAGACAGATGATCTTGGCTTGTAGACCAGCAGTCTTCTTGTGTTAAGACAGAACTTCACAGAGTAGTCCAGGTTGGCGTCGCCTTTTGCCGAAAGGGGCTTCAAGTGGCCAAACCTCCTTAGACATCACACGTATCAAAGGACACATTTTCGATTAGGATTGTTTTGATACATTTGAAACAACCAATGTTTCAAAACATGTCAAAGCTGAAAAAGCAGAACATAACATTGCTGTGGCGGTCATGTCACTGATGGTTTTTGAAACAGTGTTGTAAAATTTACCTTGAGACCGGATGTCTCAGATGACTTCAAAAGTGGTTAATATTGGGTGTTGAAATTGCCATCTCTAGCTAATACAGTAGATAGCGTGCTGTAGGCGTGATGTATTTTTGTAGGCCAGCCTGGATGTTAGCATCACCCTAGTTCACTCAGTTAAAAAGGCACTGGGATTTTTCCATTGGCTTTTGGATAATTGCAGAAAATAAACTCTGTGACACACAAACAGTTTGACACATACATGTTTTGTTCGGCAAGATAATCTTCACAGGTAAACACCTTTTATGATTTTTGAAGCTCAAATATGATCGCCAGAAGTGAAAAACTATGGTTAGGTTATAAACAAACTACACCACAGTCCTATGACTTATGTTAACCACAGACCCCTTTTTCAGATATCTAACTAAAAAGCCACTCAGAAAATCCTAACCCTAGACTTGATTACGAGGGAACTGGAAGTGCACAACGCTAACTGTTCTGGGTTTTAGGACTGCACTACTGTGGCACTCTGTACATGCCCAGTTACACATGTACAGTTGCTTACTTGTGCACAGAGACTGTGGTTAATGCCACATCCCTAAGTAACTGACTAAAAGTGACAGCCAGTGCTCCAGGGCACACAAGGTTGGATAAGACCATGCACACACACGCACACATTCACACTGTCTCCTCTAAGGGGTTATTTCCTTGCAGCCTGTGCTTCTGTTGGAGGTGTCCAGTGTGAGTCCTAAGGTTTCATCCTCCCGTGTCATGTGTCACAGCCTGTTGTTGCATGTGCAGACGTTGATGTATTATTGAAGATGTCTACATGTTACTTAGGCACTGTACATTAGGCTAACTCAAGTGCATTTACCTACATGCCGATGCATGTATAGGAATATAATATTAATGCAAATTTACATCTGTGTCCATTTTATGTTGATCTGGAGGGATTTTTTCACAGTAACTCAGAGATTTTCTAGTTTATCTTAAACAACTGCTGGGAAATTAATCTAACATAGCAAACTGGGTAGCAATCCTGACTGAACATAAATAATGTGACCACTGATAATAAAAAGAGGAATGACCCTCATGCATCACTGCATGCTGTGGGCCTCTAACCAGCTTTGTGTATGAATGAACATGTCTAAATGGGGAAAGGCTCATCCTGCAGCAGTGACTAATTCCTGCTAATCCCACAGTTTTCTACCACTTAGAGATGATTTCCCCTGAAGCGGTGGAATTGCTAGTGAGATTAGCTTGCGTTAGTTCCTCCTCTGCAGCTCACGCTCACAGCCAGGCCAGGCTGCTTCCATGCTAACCTTTTGCACAGAAACGGATTAGGTGTTTTTTGAAAATGTCCCACAACTACTTTAGAGAACGATGTAAGTTTGTTTAAACTTATTCTGCTTTTACCATTTTTCTAGTTTTGTGTGGATTCTTTGACAGTTGAATTGAAAAACTGTGACGGTAGAAATTGGCACCCTTGTTTTCAAGTGTTTATACATTTTTTTTTAGTTGTTTTCCTTGAATCATTAACTGATTGTTTGGTTGCTATTACTCATTTTTCTTTGTACATTTCTATCTGGATATTCAGTCAGGTTTTGCTTATTGCATTTATTTTATCACTGCGTTCTACTACACTGTAATTCTGGACATTTTGTGATAAATGTTACATCAGTGGTCTTGATGTGCAAAGACAAACAACATGAAGCTGATTACTGAATGTTGTGGTCATTGAGATTACAGTTTAATCCTTTAGTATTGTCTCTATCCAGATAAACATATGTATAGTGTAACAAACGAGGTTAAACTAGAAATGCATTGAGTCTGTATCAAGATAAATTTGTGCATTTGTGAAAGTATTTTTGCTTTTGCTAGGCTTTAATTCACCTTCAGCTGAGCTCTTCGCCATATGTTTACAGGGTTTTCACATGGATTAACAAATGTAAAAGCACAGTAGCCTCTGTGGGCTGCAGATAATAATGTTGTCGCCATGTGTTTCTTCCACAGGAGATCCTCCTGAATATGTTTCCAAAATCAGGGAAGTCCATTGTCTTTGACAACTTTCCTGATCCCACTGACACCTGGGAAATTATTGAGACAATCGGGAAAGGGACTTACGGGAAAGTCTACAAGGTGCTCAACAAAACTGATGGAAGTAAAGCAGCTGTGAAGATACTGGATCCCATCCATGTAAGTTGACTTTCAGCTGCAGAGCGATGCATAAAGCTCATTTAATTTTGCATGTGTTGTAGCTTGTTAAAGCAGCTATGTCTTTTATATATTGTTGATATATCTGTGTCTTTGTTGAGCAGGATATTGATGAGGAGATTGAAGCAGAGTACAACATCCTCAAGGCTCTTTCTGACCACACCAATGTTGTCAAATTCTATGGGATGTACTACAAGAAGGATCTAAAATGTGGGGATCAGCTGTGGCTAGTACTAGAGGTAGGACTCTTGTATTTGAATAGAAAAAGCCACTGGGTGTTTGCCACAACCCATGTATTTGACTGAGAACTTGCCTAGCATTTCTCTGTATACTCTGGCTGTACTGTGCAGACAAAACGAGTGCTTAATAAAGGTGCAGTTGCACTTCCCACAGAATGTCTTGTCAGGTATGCAGCAGTGACCAAATCTGGTCAGAGATTATGTAATGGTTTAAACCACCATGGAGTGTCTAGGAGTTTACTTATAGGCTGCCTGGGGGATTTGGTTGCGGGTCAGTTGGCACCATGGGGGTGCCATGGTGGGTTGGGAGTGGGGTGTTTGTGTGCTGAGAGCAGCCAAGCAGGGATTTCTCTTTACAGGGGCTGTCTCAGTGAATTTGTTCATACACCTGGTAGGTTGGCACAAAGGTCAAAGGATTGTGGGTAGAGATGCACCCCAATGGCAAATTTATTGTTGTTTTTTTGTTTTTTTTTGTTTTTTGACCTGCCCATTATGATTTTCTTTCTAAGAACTGTAATTGACAGGATACACACATATTTTGGTGAGGCTGGGGGTGCACATGGATGAGTGGCTGAATGAAAAATGGCCTGATTCTGAGCAAAAACACTGCATTTGACTTTGCACCTGCTGATGTACAGGGATGGTTTGTTGCAGGTGTAAATGTGACATTTTATGCAAACATTCAAGGGGACCTTGGTGCTACTGTTGCTTTATGTACATTTTAAAATGCTTTGCCTCCGGCTAGCCCATTCTTCGTCTTTCATATTTCGTCGGCTCATGTAACCCTTGTGAAATGTCAGGCTCCAGACAAACATGTAATCGACATCAACCTCAGACAAGGAAAAATGTTTGTAGAGTCTAACACAGTGGCGGATGTCAGTTTTTCTTTGCCTTTGAGTTTCTGACCATGTAATTTATATTCCTGCTTTGATAGAGAGTAGTACAAAGCTGGGGACATCTGATAAACACGGTCAGCAAACTAAAGGAGGTTTCATAAGAAAGAATGCAGGAGAAGTGTCACAGCTATGGCCCACAAGGTCCTTGATGTAATGGTTTTATAAAATGTATTGTAGTGTTTTTAATCACATTAGTGACTTGGCTCCCAGGATGGCAGTTTTCAGCTGCTCAGTCTGCCTCTTTGGTCCAGACCTAAATATCTCAACAAATAATGACTGGACTTCTGGTGCCCAGCGGGTGAGTTTCATTTACCTTTGGGAGTTGACACTTTTTAACTATTACGCTCACTGAGCAGCAGTGTTATGCTAACCCAGTAGGTAGTTTTCACCTCTCCAGCTTGTGTTTCTTTCCCTGTTGTCCTTCCCCCTGACCACTACGTGGGCCCTGCAGTTACTTTGCTTGGCTATCAAGCACAATCTAAGATGTTGAGTAACCAGACCATACATGGCATTACTGGACCTTTTTATAAGATTTTCTTGTTTTTATTTTGCATTACAGTTTTGTACCATGACCTCAATCCCTAGGGTGGTAGGGACGTTCACTCAAACTTTGCTGCTTTGTTTGCTTCCTGTTTTATTTTGTGGTTTGCATATTCAGTTTCAAAATTTCCCTCACAAAAATCTGCAGTGAGCAGTTTAAATACGGAGGCTAATCCTGAGCCTGAGACTGTTGTCTGACTGTTTAGCAAGTGACTCCGAGAGTGTGTTTGTGTGTGTGTAATCTGAAGTAGATGCATATGGGGGTTTAGGAGTGAAGGGGCAGGAAAGCAGGGAGTGAGGTGGCCATTCACCATGGTTATGGCCCCTCTTTTCTGTAATTTTCCATTCTTTAGTTCTGCTGAAAGCGGCTTTTCTCTGCCCTGTGTGCTCACAGCCGACCGCTCATTATGAGCAGGATTCATACAAATTGCATCCTCTACTTTGTTAGCCCCTCATTGGGGTCTGCGAGCTTTTGGCTTTGCATCTATAGTCCACTCTTTTATGACAGCGGATGTGGGCTGAGATGGGCAGCTTTCATGTATGACGGCCTAATTTTGATCCCAATCAGCTTAAAAATACTTCAAAGATAGGGATGATGGAGCGACTTTTCTTCTCTAATTAGAAATAAAAGCCTGATTTGGATGTGCATTTCAAATGTGAGCTCCCTGTGTTTCATCCACAGCCCTGCTGAAGGTCTGTGTTTAATCCAACATTTAAAAGCTCTTCTTTTGACAATATGTCCTGTCTTCCATTATGCAACAATGAGAAGTCACTGTTTTGTAATTCTGAATTGAAATTGCATTATTCGGTGCCCATGTTGTAGTTTTGAGTTTACATTCTAAATTAAATTGGTTTACAACCTTTAACTGCTGCTTTGTTGTTGCGACCACTGATGATGATTTTGTTTATATCGGTAATTATAGAATGACTAATAATACATTGGCCAAAATCTCTTGATCTCTGCTGTGAAACATTGTTTCACCCACTACAATTCACAAAATCTCCATCTAAACTGATTTTTAGCCCTTTTGTCCTCTTCTTTGTTGGATTCCTTTTAAAATATCACAAATTGCTGTCATCTGCATATGTCCCCTTTTGGTCTCTGTCCTGGCCTAACTGAAAATGAGGTTTAAAATTTCAAAAGTTAAGACCTTTCTCTGAACTGTGCCAGAAAATAGACACCTCCGCTTTTATGCCCATGTAAATGATAAGGCTACACTAAGAATGGCAGCACTTTTCTCTCGCTGGAGATGATCCAGGGTGTCACACACTCAGGGACATATTCAGTGTTGCAGACACGATACAGCTCTGGTTTTCCAATAAACCGGCGCTTGGTAAAAATACAATGCAGATTCATGTTTGCATGGAAAGGTGCATCAAAGATAGCTGAGTAAAAAGTCAGCACCTGACCGCCGTGTGTGTTTCATCTTTACATTTGTTTCATCCATTTCTTTTAGTCATCTTTCATTTACATGACTAAATGAGCACCTGGCCTCATTTGTAATTGAGAATATCCCACTCAGTATTCAGTGTATTCTTCAAAAACTGATAGTTCTGTGGAAATTCGCATGCAACATGTGAATCTTAATCTATTTGTTATATAAATTGTTTCCTATTAAACTGGCTTTGATTTTCCTCTAACTACTGTATTACGTCTTGATGCTGCTGTGTTGACAGCTAACGGGAAATGACTAATCTCAGTCCAGTGAAATCAGTAGTTGATTTACATTTGACTGTCCTAACATTGACTGATATTTCAATCTGACTAGCGTAAACCAGACTTTATGAATGGCAGATTCTTCTCTTAGAGCTGCTACTGTATCATGTCATCAATTTCACTGTAACTATTGTAGTCTAAGGATGTGATGCTGTCTAGTTGACATTGTTTAGTTTATGCAACAACCATAGACACATTTAAACACACCAAAAAATTGTAATTGTCTATGTCAGTCTCATAGAGCTTCATAGAAAAGTTAGTAAATATGGTTTCATTTTTACAAAAATGAAATCACACCAGGTTTGTGGTCCCATACATCTTTTCCGCCCTGCAGAGATTCGATCATTCACCACATCTCAAATAATTAATGTTCATGTTGAAGATCGTTTTCAAGATGTGCACCAGTGTGTGGCCAACGTGAAAGTGCTAATTTAATGTGCTCATTAATATGGATTTGTCTGTCTGTCCTGTGTAATTTAATGATGACAAGTGATATGGTAGCAGTCATGAGGACTGACATCCGGTGCGGCTCAATGTCAGAGCCCTGTGCTGTCTGTGAAAGCTTCTGCAGTGTGCTCAGCCTGACTGCACGTCTGATGGCAGAGAGAAGGAGTGATTAAGCACCCCATGTGGCAGCAGATATACATGCAATCCATCCTGCAGCAGCCCTTTGGGTCCTTGATGGATAGGTAGATTGATAGGCAGACGGAGAGGGAAAAAAAACAGGAGGTCCAGCATTGAAAACTTATGCCAGCACTTAGTCAGGGTCATTAGTGCATGGAAAAATTACCAAACAGGTCTACCGGCACTGGCTTGGACTTTCTGTTTTGAAGCGGCCTTTAATATCAAACAACTATAGACAGAAAATGAACTCAGAGGGTTGCAAAGCACTTACAAAAAGACACAAAATGACTGAAGAGATGCAAAACACAAAGAGGCCAAAAGAACAAGGAGGTGAAAAAGACACAGATTATTACAGAGAGAAATAAAACCGATACACGGAAAAACAGTGGGACAAAAAAGAGATGTAAAACTACTACATAAAGAAACAAAATTACTCCAAAGAGGAAAAAATACAAAGTGAAGCAGAAAAAATGCTAAAAAAACTACAAGCAGATACAGACTACTTCAAAGACCAACAGATCAGAAATAAACAAAATGACAAAGTATTTAGCATTACCCGATGTACGTCGTCTTCCAACAAAATGACGACGGTGAGAGTAAGTCGTGATACATTTTAATTTCAACTTCAGCTGAAATGGTCAACAGAAAACCTTTTGGCTATTTGTTGAAGTCTGGGCAGTTTTGTTGTTTTTCTAAGCTTTTAATAGATGATGCAACTCATAGCTTTTTGTTGTGCCGTTAGCTGTGTTAAGTAGCACTGAAACACTTTGTGTATGCAAAGGCAGTCAAGCTGGGTGGGCATAACTATAATGAGATGACAAAATGGGTCCCCGTGTGGAGATTTGGCCACAGTACCAGAAATTTGTCGGTATTGTGATGCTCCCTTTGTATCAGTCAGCACTTTTCTTAAGAAGACAAAGGATGCATCCATTTTGTTTTCAAAGTCTTCAGACCACCCTGCTTCCATAACCACCCTAGGAACATCAGTTTTGCATTCTAAGCACCATGTTGTGCTTCTGTGTGCAGTGCCCTTTCATTTTGAAACATGTTCCAGTTGCGTTGACTGTGGTATATAATATATCTGTTGGAAACCTTTTCTGAAATCTCTTTAGTATGATCTCTGCAGGTGACTGATTCTACATCCCTCCACTGCGTGTTTATTACCTAATTAAGCTTTCAGTTTAATCAAATCAAATTTTATTTGTATAGCGCCAAATCACAACAAAGGTCATCTCAGGACACTTTACAAATTAAGGTCTAGACCTTACTGTTATCACTATTATTACATAGGAAAAACCCAACAAATCCCCCCTGAGCAAGCACTTGGCGACAGTGGGGAGGAAAAACTCCCTTTAACGGAAGAAACCTCCGACAGACCCCGGCTCTTGGTGGGCGGCCTTCTGCCTCGACCGGTTGGGGTGAGTGGATAGAGGAGAGACAAAAGAAGAAAAGCAACAAGACACAACAATCAAACATGTAAAGACTGAGGAAGCAAGAGTATTGGTGGATTTTACTAGTTTATCCTACATGAATGTGACTAATTTACCTGTGTCTGACAGGTGTTCACTTACACGTGTTAGTAGAGGTCTTCATGAGGAGAGGAGCTCAGAGCATTATGGGGCCCCCCAGCAGCAAAGGCCTATAGCAGCATAGCTAAGGGAAGGCTCAGGGTCACCAAAAAGGCCTATAGCAGCATAGCTAAGGGAAGGGTCAGGGTCACCTGATCCAGCCCTAACTATAAGCTTTATCAAAAAGGAACGTCTTAAGTCTAATCTTAAAGTTAGAGAGGGTGTCCGCCTCCCTCTCTACTTCTGTGGACTCTAGGAACCACAAGTAAACCTGCACTCTGAGAGCGAAGTGCTCTGTTAGGATGATAAGGCTCTACGAGGTCTTTAAGATACGATGGAGCCTTGTCATTAAGGGCTTTGTATGTTAGGAGAAGGATTTTAAATTCTATTCTGAATTTTACAGGGAGCCAGTGGAGAGAAGCTAATATGGGAGAGATATGATCTCTCTTACTAGTTCCTGTCAGTACTTTGGCTGCAGCATTTTGGATTAACTGGAGGCTTTTTAGGGAACTATTGGGACATCCTGATAGTAAAGAGTTACAGTAGTCCAGCCTGGAAGTAACAAATGCATGGACTAGTTTTTCAGCATCACTTTGAGACAGGATGCTCCTGATTTTTGCAATATTGCGCAAGTGAAAGAAGGCAGATCTAGAGACTTGGTTTATGTGTGATTTAAAGGACATATTCTGATCAAAGATCATCATTTACAAGTGTGGGGAAAATTAGTGTAATTATAAAAGAACAAGTGTTTAATGCATAAAGAAATACGATGATCTCCTGTTTAATACAAAATATTTCTGGATGCATTTATGATTAAAGATGGGTGACGTGTGTAAAATATTCAGAAGTCAAAAGAGACGGAAAAAGATTCATGTGATTGTATTATTAATGCATCTGTAGATGGAGTGATGAGGCTGTGTTTACAAACAGCGTTCGTATGCAGAATTTCTGTCCGCTTCCATCTTCCAGCACCATAAATGATGTTCTTGGAGCTTTTTATTTCTCACACACCTCTGGCATCTTCCAAAGAAAGGCACAAATTAAGGGTTATCATTGTTGCCTTGGCAACCTCCTGGGTAATTTTCTGTAATTTCCCAAGAGGATTTTCTATCCACAGTGGGGCCCATATCTAGATATCGTATTCCACAAGGAAACACCTCTAAACACAAACATTTCTTGCCGTGAGAAAGTCATCAGCCTGTTTTTAACTCGGGTTTTTGTTTCCTTTATTAAATCTTTTCCTGTAAGTGGTGTGTAATTTGTAATATACACCACAGCATTGTCTGAAAACATAAGAGGCTTCATTTGAAGGTAATTTGTACATCCGTAATATTTACCCTGCTTAGTGATCACAGCGCAGATTAAACCCTCCTCACTAGATGTACATTTTCTCCATGGACACAATGTTCACCTCCCACCAAGCTGCCTCAGAAAGATAAGCTTCTAAAGACTGACAGAATGATTTGTAGCATTCTCCTCCTCACTGCGAAGTTTTATGATCAAAACATTTTCACCCTCTGCTGTTTCTCATCATGAAATTCTTCATATCTATTTTATCCAAACTGTATAGTCGATGCGGACTCTGTGTTTGCTCATTGTTGTCTTTCTTTGTGGGTTTTTGCAGCTTTGCAATGGTGGCTCGGTGACAGATCTGGCCAAAGGCATGCTGAGGAGAGGAGACAGAGTGGATGAACCCATTGTTGCTTACATCTTACATGAGGCACTCAGAGTGAGTCTGGCCTTTTGAATGCGTGTGTGTGTGTGTTGGATTCAATAAACAACCACCCCTTACTTAATAAATTGCTTCAATGAAAGGAGTCTAAGTGGGATAATTTTGGAAGCAGGTGATTGTCAGAATATAAACTCTTAACTGGTTTTTGTTTCACAGGGCCTCCAACACCTGCACATCAACAATACCATCCACCGTGATGTCAAAGGCAATAACATCCTGTTGACGACACAAGGAGGGATCAAGCTTGTGGATTTTGGTATGTAATGCATCTTTGCAAAAGACCAGCTTTAAAACCATGTCCTTCTACTATTGTCCCCCCCAATTGGTGAAAATCATGTTGTGGCCCTATTTAACAGAAGAGGGTCAAATCCATTACCATCAGCCACTTAGCAAATAAATTGTACTGCTAATTAGTTTCCTTGAGAGGTTGGAATACATTTACACAAGCCGACAGTGTGTCAGACGATTCAACTTTTCCATTACTCCCTATCTTTTCAATTCTGCAACACACAGCAGAGGACATTGTTGATTTGCATTTGGATTGTCTTAACCAAATGAGGCACTAAGAGCAGCACACCATAGCTCCAGGACTGAACGCTCACAATAGGCAAAATGGTTCTGACTATTTCCATGGGATGACTCACCCCTATTTTCTTTAGGGACTGAAAAACCAGCTGCCTGTTTTCATTACCAAATCCCCCCCCCACCCCCCCAAAAAAAATATGAGTGCAGGTTTGCATTTAGTCTACTGACTGTGGGCTTCTCTTAAAAGCCATGTCTTAACCATGACATACAAAGTGCACAGCTCTCTAAGGGGAGGAAGGGTATTAATGGAATCACTTAATATGTGAATAAGAAGTAGCAAATATGGAGTATGGCAACCATCCCCCTCCGTGTGAGCTTATTCTGAATTCACAGCAGCTGTTTATTGCAGCAGTTTTGAAATCGTTACAGCCTCAATATGTATATGTGCAAACTACAACATAGGCGCCTAAGCCTTTCTGTGATGGGGAAAACCCTGCTTAGTTTAAGTTCTGATTTGTAATATACTGTATGTTGGTAGTAACATCAGACGCATATATTATGTGACTTGCATTTAAATACAAAAAAATCAGTTTCTCAGCTCAGTGCAAACAAAATCAGTGCAAACAAAAAGTAAATGGCATGTCATTCACCTGAGCAGCAAACTGAGCAGCTAGAGCCTCCTGTGTTGTTGTCTGCCAGTGAAATTCATGCTTAGGCATTTGGCAATATTCACCAATAAGAAGCTCATACTGGAGTTTCTTCCCGCTCATGTAGAGAGTGGAAGAACTGCAGGTATGAAAATATACCTGTAACATATTTTACTAGTCTGAAAGTCTTTAACATTTTGTGTCTGTTAATGCTTATGTGGCATAACCAAAAAAGTAAAAAAAATAAAATAAAAAAAAAGAAATTAGGAGGAGCATCTTAAAAATAAGCTTCGTGTATAAAAACAAAGTGACGAAAACGTCAATAAAACGTGGCCAACTAATGCTCGCCCCGGCGCTACACGTAGGCCTTGCGTCACACTGGGATTAATGGTTTTTCATGTGGAGGGATGCACGCTACACTAAGCAGCTGAAGAGATAAAGCCCCCGCAGTGACTCATCTCCAGCTGAGAAACAAAACAGCAGAGAGTTGCTGCGAAGAGAGCAGCAGAAGAATGAGAAGAGCTGTTCGTCCACGGGTCTCTCATGAATATTCTAATTTCAAGCATTATCTTTATGATGATTGTTAAATGCGGCCCACCAGGCTCCACTCCGCGCTAATGTAGCAGAAAGAGAGAGGCTGTGAGAGCTGTAAAAGGGGGCTCTTTGTGTTTTGTATCCTCACACATTCATATGCCTCACATATACAGTGTATTATAACAGATGTGTGCTTAAACATACATTGATTGGATAATTGTAGGTTCACTGAGGTCTCATGGTTTCATGCTCTTTGCTATGTCCATTTAAAACTATGGGTTTGTTCTCACTAATGTGGGCTGGTGTTAATGTCTGTGGTTTGGTGACACTGTGTCAAACTTCAGCATACTGTTCATCCCCCTTCTGCACATGACTCTCATCCCTTTTGATGTTTGCCACACAGCCACTTTCCCCTGCATTGCTCATCCTGGATTTTCTCTCCAGCAGCACCAATGGAAAATAAGTGTGTTGCCGTACTTTACTAACAGTAATGAAGTGGTGGAAAAATTGGTGCACAGGCAAGAAACATTTTATGATGCTGTTAGAAATGCATTATGTTATATAAATGGTTCTGCATAAGGGCTGTGAATACACATATTTCATGTTTTGAACATATTTTAAATCAGTCACCATCTGGATGTTTTGTTCCTACTTTTTGATAAACTACTCCTTTAAGCGTTTATTCTGCCCACCTGACTGTCAAAACGCACTCTGCAGAACATCATCTAAAACTGTGTAATTCAGACATATACATATAATGTGCAAAACAAAGACAGTGTTGTGTGTCATTCACTAGACTAGATCACCATTTGTTTGTTGTGTTTGTTGTACATTTTTGCTTTGAGGCTCTGCTTTTGTCTTCGTTGCTCCTCCTGATCTGACTGCTTCAGCTGATCAAACCCTAGGATACATCCCAGTGTAGTCTGGACTGGAGTGAAGTCACGATTGTGGGTCAGCATGTTCCTTGTCAGGCTTTTAACCACATACTAACACACCCCCTCTTTTTCTTGCTGCTAAACCGGATAAAGCAGATAAACCTAACATAATCAAATACATAATATTTTGGTCTGAGAGAAGACGCGATGTTGCTTCCACCTGGTAAAATCTGTTTTACAGTTGAATTGGATTCAGATGTTCTTGAAATGACCAGCAAAAACAAAATTGCAGTCACAAGAATTTGTAATTCAAAGCAATCACTGGAAAGAACAAGAAGAAAAAGTCCTGTGCATATAAGTGTGTGTGTGTGTGTGTGTTGTTGTGTAAAAAAACGTCACTATAGTGACAGCTCTAGCAGTAGCATATGAGAAAGAGCTGAAATCCATTCAGCCTCATATCTGCTCAGCAGCACCCTGCTGTGTACTGTTCACTGTTTCCCTTTTCACAGGTCATCAAATTTACCAGCCAATCTGATCTTTTCATTTAAAAAAAAAAAAAAAAAAAAAAAAAAAAGCCAAGGAAGTTAAAGACCTGAGTGCAAATTCTCTCTTCTCTGCCGAGTCCTGAGAGAGAGACTAAAATGGCTGAAGTGTGTGTGTGTGTTCTCTTCTTTGCAGGTGTTTCAGCCCAGCTAACAAATACCCGTCTGAGGAGGAACACCTCTGTGGGAACTCCCTTCTGGATGGCTCCTGAGGTACCGTGTGAAACTGGCCGATAAACACTCCCACAGCATTGTCTCTTTCTGCTACATTAGCCTGGAGCAGATCCCAGTGGGCCACAGTTAATAATCATCAAAGTCATAACACTGTCAGATACAGTGATCATGAAAAATATGAAATGGGCAGCCTCCAGTGTTTGTCTCCTATCTCAGTGCACTTGTTTATTGCTTTTATACAGACACAGTTGCAACAAGAAGTGATTGTTATACCACTGCATACAGCAGTCATAACCCCCTTGTCCTTTTGACAGGGGGTTAATGTAGCCCTCTCCTGTGCAAGTTCCTCTTTGCTTGAGGAACTTGCTTTTGAGTTTTTGTGACCTTGATCAATATTATTTCTTTTCAAAGGCTGTTTCCATAAGGGAGTGTTTTCTTACTGGCAAGCAGTTATGTTTTCTGTGCATTGTTTCATACCTTGTGTTTAACCATTTGAAAAGCAGTCTAGTGTTTCTCTCATTTCTTTATTTAATTCCCTTCTAGCTCAAGGCTAATTTGTCAAGATAAAATAATCATAAGAAAATAAAACACTTTAGGTCTATAGCACACATATGCATGCACACTATATACTGTATTTGCATGATTATAATAAGGGCGGAAGCACTTAAACAATCCAAATTATTAACACGCAATGTAGCGATCAAATGGATACAGTTAGTCTTCAGCACTGTAGCTACTTTTTGTTAACACTGCATTTGGGCTTGTTTTAAATGTATTTCTTCCAAGTGCACATACACATTTTACATGAGGTTTGCATACTGTGCAAATTGTGAATTAGAATACACGCTGCATGGCATATTATGTCAGGACTCAAAGATTTTAATGTGATTTGGGTAAGATGCACATCGACAGAGTTCTAAGAAAGTTTGTTGACAGTGGAGTCTAGACTCCAAAGGGTTTGGCTGAAAAGTACTTTGTTGTCCTCGGGAAATCGGGACCTTGTGTTTTTATTAGAAGAAGTTTTAAACAAATTGCAGACTTTTAGAGTTTTATACATTCTGCACTGGATTATTTACTGAACTGCGCTTATCTTTCTAAAGATTTGGTAATGTAACGTTGAGGTGTGGGGTAAGTTGTATTATGTAATGTTATACATTTTGCAGAGGAGCTATGTGTGATGATCACTAAGTATTTCTATTAAGTACATTTGTCTCTTCTGGGGAAACATTTTAATGATTTCAATTTGCATGTTTTGGTTTATCATTGTTTATTGTTTTCTGTAGAGGTATGATGAAGAGTGAGGGACTTTGTGTTCCATAAAGAGGTGTGTGTGTGTGTGTGTGTGTATACACTTGTCTGTGTACCTGCAGTAAGTACATAGCCCATTGAGAACTAGTAATATAAACTGTATTGATTTCAGATACTTGGCTGTAACAGTGGCTGTGTGTGTCTGTGTGGTGTACACATGCCTCCCACTCAGAGAACATGTATATTGTTGATTGGGTACCCTGTTGCCCTGAGGACACTGGTGATGGACTCGGTGTATGTGTGCCTGTTATAACTCGGCCTTTCTGGAAAACACTGAATTTTGGGGAGGTCGTTTAAGGTTAGGGTAAAGGTTAGGAAAGTAGTGGTTTGTGTGTGGACCAATTATTTTCTGATGCCAGTGTTGTGAGGACATTTTAGCTGGTCCTAGTAGCTTCAGAGAGCTTTTTGAAAGGTCAGGGTTCATTTTAGATTTAGGTTTATGTTAGGTTAGGGTTGGGATTAGGCATTTAGTTGTGATGGCTAAGGGGCTAGGCAGTGCATTATTGTATGTCAGGGAGTGTCCTCACAACTATAGAAAGTCTTGTGTGACACTACAGTGAGTACATTTAATTCAGTGTTGGTTTTAGTCTCTATATGGGATATGTGGGAAAACATTATCCTTTAATTTTACCATTACAGAAATATAACTGTCATTTTACTCAACATGACTCATCTCTGTAGCTGTCTGTGTAGTTCTTCTTCACTTACTTTATAAAGTGCTTATCTTACATTTGGCATTTCATCACTTTGCACTCCAGGTAATAGCATGTGAGCAGCAGCTGGATTCGACCTACGATGCTCGTTGTGATGTCTGGTCACTTGGCATCACTGCTATAGAGCTGGGAGATGGAGACCCACCCCTCTCTGACCTGCACCCAATGAGAGCCCTTTTCAAAATACCCAGGTGATCCTCCATCACATCTGTACATCTGTCTGTCATCATTACCAGGGGGGCTGTGACCCTGACCCATCAATGCATTTATTGAAATTTAGCATAAAGTTGCATATATTCTGTCTTCTTTAAAATATTCTAACTTTAAAAATAAGTTGGGTTCACAAATAATCATTTGATCATTTGTCTGCACGTAATTGAGTGGTTGAAGACATTACCAACCCTGATTTTATTTATTACCAAACAGATGTTTTCTTATGTGACTTATTTTGATACAGGTGATGAATGAGATTGTGAAACAACAAAAAAAGTCTTTATTTTCTTGTCATCTTCCATGTTGCTCACCCCGAAGCTCTGTTAGGTGGTGACATCCTAATTGCAGCTTGTGATCTGAAAAATCGGTGCCCTTCAAAAATGTGAAGACAGTGAACTGGCAGCAACTGGACTCTGTCGATATGTTGGCATCTTGCTGCAATGTAGTCAAAGTTTTGTTTATTGAAATGAGAATTTCTCAGCTTTGTGACAATTTACTTTAGCATTTGGCATTGCAATGAATTTATTTGATTTAACTGACAACAAAGTTCATTAATTTGCACATCATGATGAACTTTTTTTTTTTTATTTCAGTTGCTCCCCACTTTCCTCACATTTAAAAATTTGGAACCAGTGAATCATTTGGCATTTTTTTGATTGCTACACAGCTTAAAAAATCATTATATTATCAGTTTATGGTGATTCATTTCAGCTGATAGTGTTTTATCAAGACCTGCAACTAAAACAATGGTCTAAAGGCAAAACGTGCTATACAACCTTTATTGAACAGTAGCTCAAACAAGATAATTTATTCACTACACCATTGGCTATGTTTTCCTGACACCCCCCCTCTACAGGGAGAGAGGATTGTAAAGACAGCATAATGCATACTGTGTGTACTGCAATCTGTACAGACCAGACAAAGTACAGTCTTTTCCAGTACATAGCCCATTGAGAACTAGTAATATAAACTGTATTGATTTCAGATACTTGGCTGTAACAGTGGCTGTGTGTGTCTGTGTGGTGTACACATGCCTCCCACTCAGAGAACATGTATATTGTTGATTGGGTACCCTGTTGCCCTGAGGACACTGGTGATGGACTCGGTGTATGTGTGCCTGTTATAACTCGGCCTTTCTGGAAAACACTGAATTTTGGGGAGGTAGTTTAAGGTTAGGGTAAAGGTTAGGAAAGTAGTGGTTTGTGTGTGGACCAATTATTTTCTGATGCCAGTGTTGTGAGGACATTTTAGCTGGTCCTAGTAGCTTCAGAGAGCTTTTTGAAAGGTCAGGGTTCATTTTAGATTTAGGTTTATGTTAGGTTAGGGTTGGGATTAGGCATTTAGTTGTGATGGCTAAGGGGCTAGGCAGTGCATTATTGTATGTCAGGGAGTGTCCTCACAACTATAGAAAGTCTTGTGTGACACTACAGTGAGTACATTTAATTCAGTGTTGGTTTTAGTCTCTATATGGGATATGTGGGAAAACATTATCCTTTAATTTTACCATTACAGAAATATAACTGTCATTTTACTCAACATGACTCATCTCTGTAGCTGTCTGTGTAGTTCTTCTTCACTTACTTTATAAAGTGCTTATCTTACATTTGGCATTTCATCACTTTGCACTCCAGGTAATAGCATGTGAGCAGCAGCTGGATTCGACCTACGATGCTCGTTGTGATGTCTGGTCACTTGGCATCACTGCTATAGAGCTGGGAGATGGAGACCCACCCCTCTCTGACCTGCACCCAATGAGAGCCCTTTTCAAAATACCCAGGTGATCCTCCATCACATCTGTACATCTGTCTGTCATCATTACCAGGGGGGCTGTGACCCTGACCCATCAATGCATTTATTGAAATTTAGCATAAAGTTGCATATATTCTGTCTTCTTTAAAATATTCTAACTTTAAAAATAAGTTGGGTTCACAAATAATCATTTGATCATTTGTCTGCATGTAACTGAGTGGTTGAAGACATTACCAACCCTGATTTTATTTATTACCAAACAGATGTTTTCTTATGTGACTTATTTTGATACAGGTGATGAATGAGATTGTGAAACAACAAAAAAAGTCTTTATTTTCTTGTCATCTTCCATGTTGCTCACCCCGAAGCTCTGTTAGGTGGTGACATCCTAATTGCAGCTTGTGATCTGAAAAATCGGTGCCCTTCAAAAATGTGAAGACAGTGATCTGGCAGCAACTGGCCTCTGTCGATATGTTGGCATCTAGCTGCAATGTAGTCAAAGTTTTGTTTAGTGAAATGAGAATTTTTCAGCTTTGTGACAATTTACTTTAGCATTTGGCATTGCAATGAATTTATTTGATTTAACTGACAACAAAGTTCATTAATTTGCACATCATGATGAACTTTTTTTTTTTTAATTTCAGTTGCTCCACACTTTCCTCACATTTAAAAATTTGGAACCAGTGAATCATTTGGCATTTTTTTGATTGCTACACAGCTTAAAAAATCATTATATTATCAGTTTATGGTGATTCATTTCAGCTGATAGTGTTTTATCAAGACCTGCAACTAAAACAATGGTCTAAAGGCAAAACGTGCTATACAACCTTTATTGAACAGTAGCTCAAACAAGATAATTTATTCACTACACCATTGGCTATGTTTTCCTGACACCCCCCCTCTACAGGGAGAGAGGATTGTAAAGACAGCATAATGCATACTGTGTGTACTGCAATCTGTACAGACCAGACAAAGTACAGTCTTTTCCACTCCCCTCCTGCCACTGATCCCATTTGTCTTGTGGGGGAAATTGAAAGCACAGCTACCCTTTTCTCATCTGTGTGTGGGCTGAAGGTGAAATGTAATTGTTTATCGTCTCCTGCGGAGTGAGATCTGTATAAGCGCTTAGCATCGCTACCGTCTTAGTACCACAGCACTTTTGTCTGTCACTGCATAGTGTGCACCTTACACAAACGCACATGGACAGTTCCTGTGTCATAGTTGACCAGCGTGCATGCCCTGGGGCTGTGCACCATGGGAGCCATCACACAACTTTCTCAGAATCTATGCGACTGCTGCAGCCCGAGCTTCAGGGTCTCTGTTCACACTCCCCACTTCCCCCCTCAGGTTCACTCCTTCACCGATCATGGAAAACAGCACACTGAAGGCATCGACTGACCTAGCATTTTTATTTAATCATATTTATCTGGAATTTTACCATATAAGCAGAAGTGCAATGCTGTATGCAGGTTAACTCAGGATACAGATTAACAGTGCCCTCCTACTTAAGCATACATATAAAAGATTGAGCTGTGATTATGTACAAAATATGAATTTGTTCACATAGGCAATTCAAAATTAAATAGTTTTATAGCTTAAGGTGCTCCTGTTTATCTTTTGTATAAGAAAAGCACTAACGGTCACAAGAATAGCAGACTCCAAATAAATGTCTCATGCTTTTGCTAGTTGTATAGTGTGTGTGTGTGTGTCTGTGTGTGTGTGTGTGTGTGTGTGTGTTGTGTGTGATAAAGAGGAGATGTATGTCCTCTCATTAGACCAATTTATTGCTGTTAGAGGCAACACGGTACACTAGCAGGCAGTGCCGACTTCCCCACCACTTGCCAGGAACCCTCTTGTAAAAAGGTACTTAAAGTAAACAAGGAATTATAGCAAATTAGCTCAGTTGTTCCCCAGGCGTGATCCCTCAACGGCATGTGACTGAAAAGAAACCTTAAGCTTATAAGATCTGCTTATGTATTCAATATTCATTGGTGCTAACAGTTTTTCTTACCTACTTTTCTGTCGTAAAATCAGCTGTATCATTACCACTCAGCTACACAGGTCACAGGCCATTTGTTATTACCTCATGCCACTGAAGAAATACCTCTACTGATGACAAATGGCTCCAGTGTTAAGATTTCACTCCATCTTCCACTCTGTGCCTTGGCCTTTTGTTCACCACCTCACCTTTGTAAATCTCATCTCATCTTATCTTTCCATTTATCTCTTACATTCCTTCTTGTAACAGAAATCCTCCACCTACTCTCCACCAGCCTGAGCTCTGGTCAGACAACTTTAATGACTTCATCAGGAAGTGAGTCTGGATGCTAGTGTGTTTGTTAGACCCGTGTCAGTAATAAATATTTCCACCGATAGTACACAACCAGATGTTTTGAATATAAATCCAATGAATTCCATGCGCCCCCTATCCTCCTCTATCTTTTCTTCTTCCTTCCCACAGATGTCTGATTAAAGACTTTGAATTGAGACCAAATGTGCTAGACCTGCTCCAACATGAGTTCATCAAACAGATTGTAGGCAGAGAGAAAATACTACAGAAACAACTGATTGAACTCATTGACCTCAACCAACAAATAGGAGCCACTGAAAAAACAAGGTACTGTCCTATTTTTATGTACGTTTCCTTTCCAATATCTCACATTTCCACATATACCGTATTCTTAATATATTATAAGCTACCACTATTTGTCAATCTGGACGAGCAGAATACTCACTGACAATACTGTTAGATTTCTATAAAGCCCAAAAACGTCTGCAAACCTCTCCTGTCAGTGGGTTTTCTTTGCTAGACTGCAGGTTAGCATTTGCAGAGTGTAATCCAAATTACCCCCATGCTGGATGTTTGACAAGCTCTGTCGCCCTCACATAAACAGCTCTGCCCTGCACCAGTTTCATTCAAGCTGCAGTCACATGAATTAAAATGTTAGCCCAGAAAATGTTTTACCTGTACAGTCATACAGTGTTCCAGTAATCCCATTTCTGTCATTTAAGCCACCATGGAAAGACAGAGAGAAGTACAGGCAGTAATGACAGGTAACACATGCATACAGTATACGACCTTTGTGCCACAGTAAGAGTAGATGATGACTGGGTTTGCTAGTCCGGCTCTTACTGTAGTTTGTGGTATTACATGTATTTGCAGTCAACTACGTGGGGTGATTTTAGATTGTTTATGATGCGGCCACCCTGTCATATTGTAACTCCTTCCTCGGTCTTCTGCACCTGGTCTTTATGTAATGTCCTATCATTTGCGGTGTAACTGGGATCAATCAACCAAGTGTAAACCAACCACAGCAGTTTGAGCTCCCAACCTCCAGCACTCATCATCAACCTTCTGAGAAATGGAGTTTTAGCAGAGAATAAATGCAATAACAATAGGAAATTATCATTATTGAAATTTTTTGTGTATTTTTGGATTATGGCTGTATCTACATATTGTTATTCTGCTAAATGTGGAAATTGAAACTTGCATAGCAGATGCTTCTTCATCAACTTTGGGCTGTTGTGTGGCACCATTTCAGTTTGCCAAGAAATGACACAGACAAAAAGGAAACTGACAATTTGCATTTACTGGCAGACGAATGTAATACTAGCCACATTTAGGACTAAGACAGTTCTAGATGCATCTTGCAGAAATAGGTGGAACAAGACTGTGCACAGCACTTTGACGGAGATGGGCAAACAAACCGGATGGACATACACAAAATCAACAATTTAATAATGACCCTTGAAGTCTTTTTTCTTGAAAAGGTAGACCACGATGTTTGAGAAGCACCTGCAATGGCGCACCAACCTCACTTTTATGTAGTTTGTCCTAGTCTGACATCGTCTCCTCCTTGTTCTCGTGCACTGAGCAGCATTTTGCTCACTACTGCCCCCAGTGGTCGGGGTCTACTACTGGTCTGCTAGCTTACTGAGCACGGCCACCAAACAGAAAGTTCATCCTGACAAGGGGGTACTAAAACACTGATGTACCACTGTGAGTGTGACTTGTTTTATTTACAAGATCCAGCTGCTTTAATATTTTATCTCATAAAACACTGCTACTGATGGCTGCATTACCTTTTATAAATACCATATCAATTTACACTGAATAATTTTTTTAGTAAAGGCCGTTTTTCTTTAATATCATGAGAAATATTATATTGTGGACTTCTTATTGTGGAAATATTGTTCTGTGAGTTTTTGGTTACATGTCTATTAGGGGCCCCGGACCCCGTACTCCCTTGCTAAGGGCCACCCGGTCCCTGTACGATCGGAGCAGGAGCTTGGTT